TCACTACTACTACTACTACTACTATTACTACTACTACTACTACTATTACTTCTACTAATACTATTACCATTACTATAACTCCTACTATTGCTACTACCTAAGGCTATACTACATGGCGCTACTATACACTACTACTATTACTACTACTACTACAACTACAACTACTACTACTATTACTACTACTATTACTATTGCTACTACTACTACTATTAGTACAACCATTACTATTACTATTACTATAACTCCTACTATTGCTACTATTGCTACTACTACAACTAAGACTCCTACTACTGCTCCTACTATTACTACTACTACTGCTACTACTACCTCCACAACTATATAGTATTGCTGCTTGTAATAATGTCAATGATAATTCTGATGATGATGATTGGGGATATTTATAATGACAATAATCGTAATAAAATGACAATAGAAATGATAAAAAATAATTACAGTAACGAGAACAACATATATGATAATGATGATAATAACAATGATGATGATAATAGTAGCAGTGATAATAATAATATTAATAATAGTAATAACAATGATAATATTGATGACGATGATATTAGTAATAATAATAATAATAATGATACAATTACTACTAATAACAATGATAACAGTGATAATAATAATGATGAAATTATAACAATGGTAACAATAATTATAATAATAATAATGATAATAAAATAATAACAAAACAATAATAATAACAATAATAATGATACTGATAAAAATGATGATAATGACAATAATAACAATAATAATCACAATAAGCATATGAGGACTTTAATTATAATAGTAATAATAGTGATAATAAAATGATGAAGTAATAATAACACTAATAATCATGATAATAATTGTAATGATAACAAGGATGATTATAATATTAATATCATTATCATTATTGCTATTATTATCAATAGCATTGATAATAATAATGATGATAATAATAATAACAATAATAGAGATAATGACAAAATAATGATAATAATGATAATAATAACGATGATGATGATGACGGTAATAGTAATAATGATAATGATGATAATAATAATAATGATAACGATAAGAAGAACAAGAACAACAAAAATATTGATAATAATAACAGCAACAACAAGAATGATAATAATAGTAACAGTAATAATGATAATAATAATAGTAATGATAAAGACAATAATAATATTAATGGACATGCTACTGCTACTACGACTACTCCACTACTACTAATGAAAATGATGATAATAACAATATTGATAATCATTGTTATCATTATAGTTCATATTAATATGACCATTATCAATGATAATTTAAAGAACAACGATAAAAATATCAATAACAATGATAATAATAATGATAATGACAAGACTAATGATAAAGATAATGATTATAATAATAATAATATTGATGATAAAACGATTGCCAATGCAGTAAACGTAATCATTAAGATGATTATTAGCAAAGTATGTTTGATTTTTTGACCCATTTCATCTTTGCATTTTCTCTGCTGTTGCTTGCCTATGTATAACTCCACTGAAGCTCCAAGGAAGTTAAATAACACCAACAGCAAAGCGCAATGAAAACCAAGGCATCAAACGAAAGCATGATTTGATGATTGCTCAAACAAACGGGTTTAATCTCCCGACTAAAACAAACGAAGATAAAAAGGACACGCCTCAAAAAAAAAAAAAAAAAAGGTTTAATCAATTACTGATAAATGCTTGGACATTACACTGAATGAACTCGCAGGTAAACAGAGCTGACGAGAGTACACGGGGGAGTGCTGTGTACACGTTACGGCAGCGGTCGAGGCACACAAAGAGTCAAGTCACCTGATTGGTCTCTCGTGATTACATCCTAATTGCCAGAGTCAACAAGGGATGTGGATGTGTTACCAGTCTGTACACATGAGGGTGTGATTATATGCGCGCAACGGGGAATGTGTACTGCACATACAAGGGGAATATTCGGTTGATATGTAAACAGGTTGAAGTGTACATGAGATTATTTTCATGCGGAGACAATAACACAAAGACATTATTAATTTCTTCACAAATAAAACTGACACGTATCCACACGAAATCCAAAAAATACACACGCACAAAATAAAAGTCCTTTTGCATGCTACATATCATATCAGGTATTAAACAAACCAAACTGATGTAAATACAGACAAGAACACATTCTCAATTCACGAGATGAAAATGACAATCATTTTGAAACCAGATTAGCATCTCATTACTCAGTCGTTCGCAATTGCATCCTCTGGCGATAGCGAGACGCCGCTGTCGATTCCCTTGGCATTCGCATAACATTTTAAAAGGTTGTGAAGATATTGTTGGTCCTGCCCGATGATGAGAAGGGACCTGGGAGACTAAAATTGTGGTTTTATTCTATTTCTTCGGGTAATTCTTTTCTGAGGGCGATTTTACTGACGTAGTTAATATTCAGTTCAAAGCGCTCGTTAAGGCTACTGAAGAAAATCCTTGTACAATGG